GTCTCGTTGGCGGGGGCGCCCCGCCTGCATAATGGTAGGGGAAACACTGTGGAAGAATCAACATCATCTGTACGTGTGTAGTACTGCAACACCACATCAAATACCTTGTATGGGAAAATGTACTTGGCAAAAAACWATTTTGATTCTTTCTTGGACCACATTCAAAATTTGTGATTTATCAAAYTTCATGTGATATAAGAATGAAGCATCCATGAATTTCAGTGGTCCAATGTACAAGCTCTAACCCTCAATAGTCTGCTGATTCCTCAAGGCTAATTTTATGAATATAAACAAATGACACTGTGACTTTAAACAGTGTCTGTGTTGTACGTCTAAACCAGAAAAAAGGAAGAGAGTTCACTTCACAGGAACGTCCTTTCACCGAYAACATGCAACCAATGTGAGAAAAGTGCTTGTGAGAGCTCAGCGGGCACAGGTATCAACACAAACACAGCTGCTACAGCCTGTAGGAAGTTGTATGTTGACTGAGTTCCCAGTTTAACTTCACACTTCTGTGTAATGGTCACRGTGCATATGCTCACAGAAACACTACTAGGAGCTCACAGATACCTGCAGCCATTTCTAATCTCGTTAGATGTGCAGGTGCAGATGCTGCACACATCCACACCTACATGATCTCATTTAAAAACTGAGCTTAAAAAATAAACAAAGATCCYCACCAAGATGAGTTTTGGAGCCCACATTAAAAAATATTATTGATCTATTAAAAAAAGGGTAAAAAAGCACAAGATACAAAAGGCAGACTTGTACAGTTGTAAAGCAGAGAAGGAGTAGAGAAGGGAAAAATTAAGACCAGGGATTCATTTGCCAGATCAGACTATAAAAGTGGTCTGTGGCAGAAWACACAAGCTGGAGGTTGTTGCAAAGCAGAAACAACATCATCTGCTGCAACAATAAGGAATATACACCCACAAAATTAAAACAAAGCTATTAAAATATGTGAACTTTTTTAATGGACTACTGCTTATTTTGTTTCCAGTGTTTCTGTTTTTGCCCACTTTTAACAGCACACTGTAAAAGTTCTGAAACTGAATCTATTTATTTTAGAAGTTTGTTGTAGGGACCCTAAAATAAATAAATCAATGAATGAATGAATGAATGAATGAATGAATGAATGAAGAAGTAAATGTATTAAAAAGTGGTTTTAATGAAACCACAAGCGAAAATATGACAAGTAAAAGGACATTTTATAATAAAAACTACTATATTTATGGAAATGTCGGATTTTGTTTGTCAATACTAAAGGTATATGTGATCCATCATATCGAAATGAGGATTAAGTCAAATTTGGTCAAAATGACCTTATCACATTTTCAGATTCCTGCTTTAAAAGCTACATTTTGATACCTGGATCATTCTGATATCATAAGCAGATCCAGAGACACGACTTAATTTGTGTTGTTGGTTATGATGATACATCGGAATCCTAATTTATTTATGCAATTTTAATGAGCAATTTCTGATATTAATATAAAGAGGAAATCTCGAATAGTATTTAAACATTGAGATTTTCCAGCTGGGAAGAAACAAAAACCTTWCTGGCTCACAGGGAAAATCTCAAAATTTTAAGGCGTTTTTCCTCAAAATCACATTTTTTGTTAATACTGCTCAAAAAAGGTGCTTCAAAACTTTTTCTTTCCAATATTTCCGTCAGTTCATTCACATGATACATTGATAAGGCCTTTATTCATTACATTTTGATAWAATGCAATTTTTGCAAACGTTTTAATCAAAGCAATATATCTGYTTATTTCTCCACATCTTACTTTTAGACTTGATCCTCATTCCGATACAATGGGTCACATATTACTGTCAATGCAGTGTTGAAAGTACAATATGTTTCCTAATTTTAGTACTGAACTCATGTGTTTGYCCCTCAATTGTCAAACATTTTACACATTTACAAACCTTTTTGAAGAGCAAGGAGTCGTCCATGTGTTCTGCGTAGACAGAGGTGAGCCTGTACTGGTTCTCTGTTGTTATATCTATCTGGTAACCAGTCAGGATGTAACAAACTGTGCGAAACTCTTGAATTTTCTTTTGAAACACCTCCTTAAGTCTCTGGTTCCTCAGCTCTGAGCTCTCCATTTGCTTGCGTAAATCTGTAACACACAAAGGTTAAAATAATATATCAGAAGAGTGTTTTTATGCTGAAACGGGAATGTACTACAAGGAAAACTGGTAATATTTTAGTTGCATAAATCTTAAAGTACAAGGGCAGCTAGAACACTCAACATATTAATTTTCAGCTATGTTTGCAAGACTTCTCTATGGACGTCCACAATTCTGCAGCACAATTTGGTAGGCTCATGCAGCATTGATGGGCAGCTCCAAATCWAATGTATTCTCCCTGCAGCGATCCTTCTGCTCAATTCTAAAAAAAGTACTATAATACACAGAGGGAAAGGGTGAATAAAGCATTTGGCTGAGGATCTTAGCAGGGAACTCATCTTAAAGAGGAGAAAGGAGGATAGGGCACCTATGTACATAATTTCTCAAAATCTTATTTGCAACTATTCACAATTAATTTGGTGACTTAATTTGAAAAGTCAGTGAGATAATTCAGTGTGGGCAGAAATGAGTCACGATGAAGAGATTTATTTACAATAATGCCTTTCTCCTAATAAAAGATAATTAGGACATTTGTAAAGGCAGGACTATTAGATCAGAACAGGAATTTATTGCAGAGTTAGAAATAGTGCAACAAGAMTAAAATGCCAGCGAAAAACAGGCCAATTTTGTCACATTTAACTAGATATCGCATAGCGGTAACATAATGACCCCTGCACGCACAAATTCACCAGAACTCAGAAGCTTTTATTCCTAATAAATGTCATGCTACTAGGTGCATCCCAAAATTGTAGTGGTTTGGGTGGGG